TTATAATGGCAGTTTTCATATATATAAAAAACATTGCCTAAAAGTTATTAATTGTAATTTAAGTTTTAAAATGTTCAATCCTTATTTGTGTAAAAATTATAATGAAAGCTATTGTTATTTAATTTCTGTTAATTTATCAGGTAGAGAAAAGGACTCTATTTCATATTGTAACATTAGAATTGTCTTAAAACTTAATAGTAATTCATCAAAGGATTTTTGAAGCTCTTAGATCTGGTATTCATAATAAAAATTTAGGTTATCCAAAAATGTATAAAATTATCGAATTAAGTTATCTTATTTATGTAATAAAATCTCTAGTTCTGGAATTTATTTTTCAGTTTATTCAATAAGTTTTAACATGCATTGAGCTTCTTTCAAAAAAAATTTCTTGTTTAAAGTTGCATTAGGCAAGTTAAGTAGCTTTTACTTAAACTTATCTCTTACTAAAGTATTATGCTTTTATCTGGTTCATTTCTCTAATCATTAATATCTTAAATTGTTTATGATAATATTAATTCTAATAGTCTCATAAAATATTTAAGCTAGTAAAGGATTGTGAATTCATTCATCTTTTTCTATTCAAGTTATTCCATTTAAAAATGTTATTCGCTTAAACTAAGCTCAAGAATTTTAATGATTAGTTTAGTATTTTAGAAATACTCTTTGAAATTGATAATCATTTTTTTTATCTGTGAATTATACGTGGCTTATTCTAATGTGACATTATAATAATTATGTTTTTTGATAAAATTTTTATAATTCTTTACTATGACTCCCAAACTATCACAATTTTTCTAAATTAAAGCTAGTAAATTATTAGAAAAACTGAAATCCTAAAATTGTTAAATTTTCAAAACTGTCTAAATATATGAATTTTCTTATTTTTCTATACTAATTCTAATTGTCAATAAGAACCAAATATGAAATAAACTTATTCTTTTTTACTTTCATTAAGAAGTCCTTTAGCAATATGAGGTTTTCCCATTCTTTAAAAGTGTCTTCTACTATTAGTTTATCAACTTAAGTTAATTCTTTATTGTTAAATTCATTTAGTTAATTTAAAGCTTAGTCATTGCTATGATTCATTTAAATTAGAACCCCTTTTTTCAGATATTCCTTCCATTTTTCTTCAAGATTAAAAGAGCTATTCAGCTTAAAATTTTTTTTTGTTATAAGATGACTATATATATTAAGATTTTTCCAATCATTTAGATCCACAAAAAATGATTTTTCCAATTCTTCGAATTTTTCACAAGCTTTTCATGTGTTTTCTCGATTTGAAGGATTATTTCTTCCAAATTCTGTTCGCATTCATTTTTTAAATTATTTATGATCTCCCATTACAACATATCTATTGTAAAATATACTCCATATTATTCTCTATTTTTTTAAACAACATACTTGTTGTAAAGTAGGCAGGCTCTATAAAACAATTATATAAACAAATCCATATTAGGTTTCATATCAATTATTGAATTAATGATACCATTTAAAAAACCTCATAAAATATCATCCCTTTCTTTACCATCGTTTGGGGATATCTAAAAAGAAGTTTTTGTTAGGAAAAGGTAAAGTTCCAATTAACTCTAAATTAAATCATTCATCTCTATTTCAATCTATTATCTTAATTCATCGCAAATATCAACAAATTACTTTTAAGTATCACAGTTTATGAATTTCTAATCATTTCTTATATTTTCTTATATGGAAAAAATATCACTTTAGATAGAGAAGCTGTAGTTCTTAAGATGAATAAACATTTAAATGAATCTATTCTGATATAGAACCAACAACTTTTCAATAATTTTAGGATTCCATCTAAAATTAAGTTGTATGATTTCAAGACTTTTGAAGCATTCTTGATGAGTTTGTAAATGTTTTCCTCTTAAAAAATAAACCACTATATGGCTATCAGTATAACTTAAACTTCTGATCAATTAGCAGCAACTGTTGCTTTAGTGTATGCAGTTTAGACAAAAGAATCAAATCTAGTTATGAAATTTTCTATGTCATAAATATCAGACTTCTAGACTACATATGTGTTGGGTATTATTTTAATAGATCAACAACCACCTCCAAGTAATGGGGATGTTAATTTATTCAATTGACCTGATATTTTTTATAAAAATTTAAATAATATATCAATACCGGTAAAAAAATGTTTATAAACTTGAAATGAATTCAAATATATTTTTTAATAATTAATATAAAATATTTTTAAATAAATTTTTACATTTTTTTTATTACTTTCTCAGACTAAAGTTTTCCTTTATTTTAGCTATTCCATCCAGCTTTAACATAGCTGGAACTAGCTTATTTTGAAATGCATTTGGTTCCATCCATAATACATGTTGGTCCATAAG